GGACTAGTTAATGCAGAAGAGCCTCCTGCACCTCAAGTAATTAAACTGGTGGAAGTACAGTGTGCACTCGCTCTCTCTCTCTCAGATCTGGGCCTGCAGCCCACACTGGGCTACAGTTTCTTTTGCATCAGGTCTATAGCATTTTAATGAGGCAATAGCAGCAGGAAGATAGAAATAATGTCTCCACCCCTTAGTCCAACACTGACAGGATGGGAGACCCTAACGCTTTTTTCTTACCCAGCATCATCCACTGCGCATCTCAGAAGGGCTATAAATATCAGGCAGCCTTCTCAATCCTCCAGAAAGCACAGAGGGATTTATTTGTAACAGAAAAGACAGGAAATTAGACCTATTTTGTTTTCCCTTTAGTTATTCTGAAAGCTGGAGAGAGAGTAGGAAGGGAGCCCAGACTTGCCAGGGCGAGCAGAGCGCAGGGCTCCTGGGTTTGGGCACCCCACACGCTGCCTGGGTGCACGGGACTGGGACTCGGCTTTGACAGAGAGGATCCCAAGAACAACAGAGATTTTCATTTACTACATGGGCCATGCTGTACAGGACACAAGGCAAGATGGCAGGTAGGTACAAAGTTCTGCCCTTATCTGTATCACAGAGGTGCTTTTTTTGCCAGCCTAGGTTGCAATAGTTTCTTTTATGGTGCTTATGTATCTAAGCACGCCCCTAATCATCCTTTTGGAAGCAACATGTGGCAATACCGATCCCAGCTGGGAACTCAACTAAAGAAACTGTATTCCTTCCCTGCTCCCCCAGCCCCGCCCTCTATGAACCTATTAGATGCAACCCTTCCTGTCTTTACCAGCTTAAGAACCTCATTTAAAATCCATTATTTCTTAATGAGACAAGCACACATCACTTTGTATCACCAGTGTGCACCCAATAGGAAGGTCCCAGCAGCTCCAAGCGAAACAATACCCCACTCTGTGGCTAGAAAGGAAACAACCTACAAAGGGCAGCACTCTGAAGCCTAGCATGCAGGGCCAATCAACTATGTCCTGCCGCCGTGGCACGGCTCGCTCCATGCTCACTGACATCAAATCTACCAGAAGGAAATGGTGACCAAAGGAGATCTCTGAGCTCTCACACTCCAGTGACAGACACAGCCTCTGCAGCTGATCTGTGAATATTATTTATAAAGTCTGATCACAGCCTCCTGCAGTCATCAATGTAGGATATTAAATTTATTTTATGGACAATCCTTTTAAGAGTTATTTTCCCCAACATCCAGTACTGGCTACCATTCAAAGCCAAAAAAAATTTGGAGTAGGCAAACCACTGTCCAATACCAAAGACCTAAACTGGCCTGTTCACCCTCTAGCACATGGAGACTACCTGGCTTTCCAAAGGAGCTGGCCCTGCAGAGTGCATTCATTGCCCTAACTCTCATCTGTTCCAACAGCCGTTCAAAGAAACTTGATGGAATGGAGACAGGTGGTGATATAGGCAGCCCTCAGAGATAAAAACAGAACCCTACAAGGGAAGAGGAGCTAGGGAAACAACCATCCATCCTTGCTGCTTTCTGTGTCCCAGGATCCTTTCAGCTGTATGCCTGGTGAGCTTGGGAGTGGGATCTCAGACTGCAGAGTGCTGAATAGATCCGTTTCCCAGGAGTGCTAGCAGATGCCTGAAAAAATGGATAGCACAATTTCACCTGTTATTGCAAGAGCTCATACCACTTGTGTCCCCTATCTGTAACCCTTTGGCACCAAGACTATAAAGAGAGAACAGTGGAAGTGCTTCACATTAAGACCAAAACCCGAGACTGTATTTCCCTGCCTTCATGCACTGGACTCCTGTGTGTGAATGTCCTTCTTCCGGTTCTCTCACCTCTCCTGGCCAAATCAGCCCTTTTGGTCAGGAAATTTAGTGCATGTTCTGAGTGATCGGAAGCATGTTGCCAGCCTTCACCTGAGCTTGGGACAAAGTCAGAGGAGAGGAAGGAAATCTGAAAAGGAAGGGAAAGTCTAGTGGGGTTAGAATAGCGGCTTTAATCACAATTCAAGATTTCTTCTGGTTGCTGCCACAGATGCCTATAACTCTTCACTTCACAAAGGATGTCACATCACATGCCTCTCCAGAGTTCCTCATGGAGAGCAGTAGAGGTAGCCTGTGCGGTATAATAGCATGTTCTTGCACACTACCTTCCTTCGAGCTACCTTCCCAAGGAGGTAAATCCTTGCTAAAAAAGCCTGAGCAGAAAAAAAAACTTTGGTTTTTTTCTATTTGAACCTACTCTGGTAGAATGATGGGAATACTCTCATAACTTGACAACAGAGTGACACCAAATATTTGCAGTGTCTTTTGTTCACAGGATGCCAGTGAAAGGGGGAGATTTTTCTCTGGCTGAGATGCAACACAAAGAGCAACAATCACAAGAATTCACATGTGAATGTTTCAGTACGGCACAAGGTTGAGTGAAATGATAATTGGTTCCTCTTTTTGTAGAGTCCTCTGCAGCAAGACCAGGAACGCGCTTGGAAATCACAACGTCCAACACTGCGCTGGCAACAAGCTCTGCAAACGTTGGCTAACTCCTCTTAAAACTCTCGGGCATCAAGAGTCTCTTTTCCCACAAACACTGTTGTGTGCAAGAATCCCTTTTTTTGTGGGTGACGGCACTCAAATCTAATTTCTTCTGGTTCAAAGACTCATGTCTGCTTGTCTCACCCTCCCACCTCAAGTATTTGGCCTCTTCCGAATTTAACTCTCCTCATCTTTTCATCATTTATCGAGTCTTCCTCCGTAGGGCAATCCATCTCCCTCCCAGGGGGCTCACGTTAGCCATCTGAAGTCTGTTTCTCAGCGAGGCCTCGGAAGGAGGGGGTGCTGCTGGCGTGCCAGGACAGGACAGAGCCCAGCCCCGCGGACACCCTCCCGCACTCCGGGTTGGAGCCTGGCTTTGCTGCCTGTAAGCCCACCCCCGGGAGACCCTTTCCCAAGGGACCGGTTCCGAGCAGGGGAGCGCGGCCTCCCAGGACAGCAGGCGAGCGAGCCCCCCCAGCGGAAGGCCACCGCCTGCCCTCCTCG